GACCGCTGTAAATTTGAGTTTTCCATTGTAATCGAAATGGGGACATATAAATATTTTCTATTTTAATGGGCGTGTTAAGTAAAATTAAAAAAAAAATATTTCTAATACAAAAATATTTTTTCGAATTTTATTCTTTTCAATTTTCCTACAATAATTTTTTGAAATTTTAAAAAATTCAAGCAAATTTGAAACGCGCGCAACAATGGCTTTTAAACATCGTCAAAATGAAGCCTAAAATCTGATTGGCTAATGTATAACCTCTCAGGCAATAGTCGATATGCTTTTACCTGAATTGTGGAAATTCCGGATAACCGACAATTTAAAGGTTAAGATCGTATACTTTAACATATAAATATATACAGGGTGTTCCAAAATTAGACGGTCATATTTTAACAGCGTAATCTACATCCTAAAATAGGAATAAAAGTTTATATAAACAGAGGTCCTAAAACGTTTCGTTTTCGAGATACAGGGTGTTACAAGTGAATTCCTGATGGCACATTTTTGTAAATATTTTCTAAAATTTCTTTAGTCACTGGTTTTCCAAAGAAAAAAAAAATTAAATTTCTGATTTCACAGGCCTACTAATTATTGTTTACACTTTCGAATAAGATAACATCAACTTATCATGAAATTTTCAAATGCTTTTTTCTTGAAAATGGTGCGTCCTAGCGAGATGCAACAAAAGTAGCTTTATTATAAAGAAAATATTGGTTTTCCAAATTTTATAGTAAACATGTTAAAAACTGTTAACAAAAAAAACTTAGAGCAATTTTACCCTAAGCCCTCCCTAATTTACCCACCTATGAAGATGATAAAAAACTGTGGTTTAGTCCATTAAATAGAGCGTACCAAATTTCACTTAGTTATCTTTAAACGTTTAGAAAATATTTACAAAAGAGTGTCATCAGGACTTCACTTTTACCACTCTGTATCTCGGAAAAGAAATGTTTTCGGACCTATATTTATATGAACTTTTACTACTATTTTAAGATGTAGATTATGCTGTTAAAATATGACCGTCTAATTTCGGGACACCCTGTATATTAAAACTAAAACAATTCTTCTTTAAATTCAGTTTTTATAAAGCAACTTGACACTTACTATTTCAATTAACTTTTTTCTTAATCGAAATGATATTCAAATCATAATCGCGATATCGCGAAATATTTTTTCTAAGTCTGGCAACGTGGTTCATCTATGCTTCTTAATCTTAACCTCTTTTTGGATTACGAGATTATTGTATTTTAAAATTATTATTTAATTTTTTAAAAATGGCCAAAGTATAAACAGGATTAAAAGAAGAATCTTTAGACAACTTAACCAAAGTGGATTCTAACATGATTATGGTTTTTTTATATAAATAATATAAAGTTTATTGGCTTTGAAATTCGCAACAGTAACTATACTTTCTAAGCTTCAAATATTTCTAGAATTATTATATTCAAAGAGATTTGTGTTTAAGAAAGAAACATTTTTTTTATTATACAAACTCACTACTCAATATTGTTGACATTTTTCTATTCTATTGTAGATTTATCAAGGAAACGCACTATCATATCTTCGGTTACCATTTGTAACATTAATGCTAGAATTACCCCAGAACACAAAAAGTTTATAGCGTTATTCAGTAATAAATGAACAAAAGGAGAAGGTGGTATCTTGTAAATTCACAGAATATTCTGCTTTCGAAGGTAAATTCAATTCCTGTCAATATTAAAAAGCTCAAAATACAGTATTAAATGATTTTACATAGTACTATTTTTTAAGGTGGATGCAAATATAGTGTTGCTTTCTTGTTGTGACTTCTGAATACCATCGAAATGAATAACCTTCCATTACTTCCGCCTTTTGTTATTGGAAAAGGCAACTGTTGTCAAAAGTGTCAAGTTCTAATGATTTGATGGTGTCGATTCTTCTTCGAATTAAAAACATTAAATGTGTGCTTTTTATAAATAATAAGAGTGAATAGATTTATATCGAGTAAGTGAACAGAAAATTTTACTTTCATATTCAAATGCAAAGGTTGCTTTCTAAAAAACATGGACCTTTTTGTGTGGAATCTCCATATTTTGAAAAAAATAAGGAAGTTCAAATATTAGAAGTTTAATTTGATGAACATTTTTTAAAATCTTGAGAGAATGAAAACATGTATGTCTAAAGGAGAAATATACCGAAAATAACAAGTATTTTTCTTTTGCTAATAAGTTTGTATTATTAGGTATGTGTTAAAAGAAAATTACATAATTTTGGATATAGGTAGTGTATCGCAAAATGTTTGCACCAAGGTAATCTACGTAAAAAAGTGCAAATTAAAAATTTTTTAGTGAAAATTATTAGATACCTACAGGGTTATTCATTATAAATTACTCTGTATACCATAGTTATTATTGTATAATATTTACATTGACCGAATTTTGTTAAAATGTCATCAATAATACAATGACAATATCATCGGCGTGCATCTTCCACGGGATACAACATGAATAATATTTTTTAATGAGGATAGCATAGATATATCTTTTATTTCTGTTTCGAAATGATCTTTATTTTTTCCTGATTAATTAAACGTCGAATATCTTATAGTTTATATAAATATTTATATATTTCTTCCCCACTGTAAACTACCTATTTGGATTATTTTATTATCAAACATAATAGTTGTGATTTTCATAGCTTTCACTTTAATAATGTTAACTTTTTCATATGTACATTATCGACGTTAAATTACTCGAGAACAGACGATATAAGATAGGCTTATCAATAATATTATACATTTTTGAAATTAGAAAAAAATGTATCCCAGAAATTTAATAGATAACATATAGAGGATGAGAATATCCCATTTAAAAAAGTTTTTTTGTTTTGCAATCCGTGAAATCTGAATACGAATGTGTTTTTATGGTATATTTAAAAAATAGTTACGTCATATCCACAAACTTTTATTTAAAGCTTTTTTTGAATGTGCAATGGTGGTTATAAAAGGTGTCTTTAATATTGAATACATTTTTGGAAATTAGTTTCATTTTTTCATATTAGTCAAAGAAACAAATTTTTAGCTTTGACTTAAATAAAACGGTAAATAACCATCTGAGAATAATCATTTCAATCTACCTGAACCAAGAATTATTTATAAAAGTTACTTATATTTTACAAACCTAACCAACAGGATTATTGAAAACACTAACAAAAATAATCCTTAAAATACCCATTGTGTTTACTTCAATATTAAGAATTTATTTATATTATTTACCAACCATCTTAAGGGTTTTTTTTTATTACATTGTTACGCACTAGATTAAAGAAATAACCTGTTATTTATTATGCTAAGTAATAAGTAGGTACCTACCTACCTATGTATGTATTTGAATCTATAATATAAAAATGAATCGCAGAATGTGTTGGTAAGCGCATAACTCAACAACGCCTGAATCAAGTTTACCACTTGTTTTTTTTAAATGTTCGTTGAAGTCCAAGGATGGTTTTTACGGCGAAAAAAATTTGAATAATTTCCGGGAAAACCCTAAATACAGCCCTTTTCTTTCTATAATCTATCTATCTATCTATCTATCTATCTATCTATCTATCTATCTATCTATCTATCTATCTATCTATCTATCTATCTATCTATCTATCTATCTATCTATCTATCTATCTATCTATCTATCTATCTATCTATCTATCTATCTATCTATCTATCTATCTATCTATCTATCTATCTATCTATCTATCTATCTATCTATCTATCTATCTATCTATCTATCTATCTATCTATCTATCTATATATATACAGTGTGGAAACCACTTATGGAATAAAATTCTTTATGTCATTATTTTAGAAAATTGTAAAAAATGCCGAGACACATCAACTTTTGAATTGAGTTGTGCGTTATGTAAACATAAATTTAAATGTACAGGGTGATTCACGCAAGTATGCCATAGTCGGTGTTGTTTTTTTTTAATGAAACACCCTGTATATTTGAATATTTTTGAAATCCTCTTAATGAACCGATTCCAACAAACTGAATAATGTATGTATGCAAATATACAGGGTGTTTCATTAAAAAAAAACAACACCGACTATGGCATACTTGCGTGAATCACCCTATACATTTAAATTTATGTTTACATAACGCACAACTCAATTCAAAAGTTGACATGTCTCGGCATTTTTTTTAATTTTCTAAAATAATGACATAAAGAATTTTATTCCATAAGTGGTTTCCACACCGTATATAAAATGAATCCCTATTTGCCTTGGTCACGGCATCAAGTTTGAACTGCTGGACCGATTTCGATAATCCTTTTTTTGTTGGGTTTGTTATTGTCAGGAGAAGGTTCTTATGAAAGAAAAATTAAGAAAATTGCGCGGAAAATTAGAAAATTTAAGAATATATATAAAAATTAATCCCTATTTCCCTTGGTCACGGCATCACGCATGAACGGCTGGACCGATTTTGCTAATTCTTTTTTGTTGTGTTTCTTATTGTCAGGAGAAGGTTCTTATGAAAGAAAAAATTAGGAAAATTGCGCAGAAAATTAAAAAAAATTAAGAATATATTTAAAAATGAATCCCTATTTCCCTTGGTCACGGCATCACGCGTGAAAGGCTGGACCGATTTCGCTAATTCTTTTTTTTTGTTGTATTTTTTATTGTCAGGAGAAGGTTCTTATGAAAGAAAAAAATTAAGAAAATTGAGCGGAAAATTAGAAAATTTAAGAATACTTAACCACCATATTAAATTATTTCTAATGTTACCATAGCGATTTTACAATTCAAAATTTTTTGATGTAACCTTATGGCGTTTGACAGAATGCGTGCAGCAAATATCGTCAAAGATAAATATCGTTTAAAACAGATGCTTCGATCTGAGTTATTATATTGATAAAATACATATAAAATAATTAATTTATTATTTAGAACAAAAACTGAATTTCTTAGTACACATCACCGTTAGTTCAGAGCTATCACGCCTAATATTAAAAGTTCAATTAAATATGGAGTTTTGGTAAGTTTGGATAGACTAACATACACGTTACTAACATAACACTTGGTATACTTGGTTATAAAGAAGAATACAATAGTTTTCATTAATTTACAGATGAATTTTCGTTTTTAAAATGCCAGCAATTAGACGTACAAACGTACAAACTTATATCGCAGAACTCGCTATACTGCATGTCAAATATATTCAAGAGAAAGTCAAACCGACGAGCATCGCGAAGCGAGGAATGAAGTTTAACGGAATCGATGGAATCGAAATCAACAACATAGAAATGTTGCGTTTAACCCAATGAACTGGAGTGGGGTAGAAAGCTAATGTGCATATTGTATCAATTGAACAAGATGCGACTCTATGGGCGCAGCCATTTTTATTTCTCATCTCACTTGGGAGTATTTATAATAACCATTTTCTGTTTCACATTGTTATTGTTCAATCCACAGGCTGGTGGATCAGACAATAACAAAGTGAAATAGAAAATGGTCGTTATAAATACTCCCGAGTGAGATGAAAAATAACCTATCTTCGCCCATAGAGTCGCATCTCAAGCCTATTGACAAGCATTCTACCCCACTCCATTTCATTGGTTTAACCCCTATCGAGCTGCATCCAATTGTGGAAATCGATTACAGTTCACAGAAAATCGTTGCTATAGAACCAATGAACGTTGTGTGCCAATATTGCAAGGCATTTAAGATTAAAAATAAAGCTCCTAGATTGTGTTGCGCGAGGGGTCAAGTCAAATTGACGCCATTTATACCGCTATCAGAGCCACTACATTCATTGGTTTCCAGAAATCGGCCAGATTCTAAATATTTTTTGACTCATATGTAGCAATACAATAATTGCTTTCAAATGACGTCATTTAGCGGAACAAAAGTTATTCAAGAAAATTTTATGCCAACTTTCAAGAAAAAATAACAAAGAATGTTGTATATCATGAAGCATAAGAATAATAAACACTTTGTTTCTGAAATATTTTTTATTAATAATTATACCGATGCGAAATCAATATTCATAGTTAAGACAGGACAACGTATGTCGGGTCCGCTAGTTAAAAATAAAATAAAAAATTTTTCTCAACCTTAATAAATGTATTATCATTGCTATTATTCATGTTATATAATTTATTTTAAATTAATTTGGAAAAGGAAAAAACACATTTTCTATTTTATTAATTTCAAAACAGTTACAAATATACAAATTTTTAATTCTAATTTTAAAACTTAGCTAATTTATCATAATATATATCATCAAGAATGAGACATAGTACAACTGAAGATTCTCTGATTAAAAATAAAACTATTTAACCAAATATGCTTAGAAAAATTACCCGTTTTCAAAATGCAGGGTGTTATTAATGGCTATAATATTTTTGTTTTTCAGTATCATTTTACTGACTTCAATAAACATTTTTGACACTTTCCAAAAACTTATTTAGACTATAATTTAATTTTTTTTATATAAATCATGTATTCTTATTGAGAGCTCGTCCTTTATTAACAGTAACATAATTCAGTAATAAAAAATAAACAGAACTAATTCACAATATCTACTACCCGTAAATTCACTTACGCACAATAAGAACCATTACCCAGAAAATAGTCCAAACAATGAATAACCCATCGGTCTCCGTTAAATATTTCAGCTCGACCTTAAGTCCGCCCATTTCAAAGCAAGCGACTGTCGACGTATCCAAATTCACTAGCGCCATCTATTGGTAGTATCCATTTCGCTCCAATGAAACTTCCATGAGGTGATATTACTATTAGTTCTTTGTACAATGATTTGATTCGACAGGTGGAGCCATCTCTAGAGTCACAAACGAGTGAGGAGGTAGGTTCATATCATGGAGGTATAATACTAATGGAGATGCCATGAGGCAATTGTTTTGCATATGATACGTTTTATTAAAAATTACCCCACTGGGCGTGGCCTAAATGGTTGACTAAGCAGGGTCGTATTCTAATATAATTAAAGTCCGTATGTAGAATTACAACTTTTAAATGACTTACTTACCTAAGATTTGTTTCAACATAATCGATTCGAAATTAATTTGATGACATTGCGCAATTATGACTTCTACACTATTTACTATTATTTATTAACCGTTTTCCGACCAAGCCAATGCCAAGACCATAAAAGAGATTAATATTATTATATTGTTCTGTCTTCTCCGGAACCGTCCGATATATGACCTGTGTGATCGAAAATCAACGTTCGAATAACACTGTGCCTCCTCGTGGCACCGCTGGATACGTTAATATTGCTGCTCTATGAACAGCACTATTAACTAACTAAATGGCACTCCATCAATACCCCAAGCTAAGGTGTAAGGCAACGTGCTGAAGGCTGAATGGCCGCTGGGAAAGCGGTTTCGAACGTTCCTCTGAGGGAACCTGGCGAAACCCTCTTGTATCTAGCCTTGCCGGCGCATGCGGGGCTCTGCGTCGGTCGACTTTTATATCCCTAGCTGTTCGTGGGATTTACATGGGCAAGAAAACAAAATTAAGCAAACCCGGCGGGACTACACCGCCACCAAATCTGATCAAACGGAGCCTGCCATCCGAAGCGATCAACCTCCCTCAACCTCTCAAGTGAGACAACCTCACAAGAGAGAAGTGGGAGAACAAAAGAAAGAGGTGAAGGGAGAAGAGAAGAGGAGCACCATCGCTCCATCTTCTCCATCCCCCTCTCACCATTCATCGGCGAGGAAAGCTCCCCTCAAGAAAGAATCCAAACGGAAGCTACCTTCCCTACCTCCACTGGGACAACCTGGTGGAAGGGAAGTGAGGCATGGACTCAGTGGGGCAGGGGTTCGGTAATATCTTCGCTACCTCGCTCAGGGCATGACACCGGAGGAAGCGAAAAAGAAAGCTGTAGAGCACAGATCCCAGGGAGAGGGAAGTAAAACCAATCCTAAGGATCTGAAAAGAAAGCGGGACGGGAATAACATTACACCACCGCAAAGGAAAGAAAAGAAAAGAAAAGGAAAGTGGCCGATACTTCCGCTACGGGCAGTTATGCAACTGTCGTGAAGACGGAGCGGGTCGCGATCCTACCTAAGGGGTTCCCTGAGACCATCCTCAGTGCGAACGAACAAACCTTGGTGGAAGAAGCCCTGGTAGAAGAGATGTTCGCTGGATGGGAGCATAAGCTCCAATTCGGAGGCATCCACTTCCGGCCAGGAATGGTCTTGATCGACTGTGAAACCCCACAGTCAGCAGAATGGCTCAGGGCAAAAATACCACACCTGAGCAACTGGAAGGGAGTGGAGTTGGAGGTATGTGCGGGAGACGACATCCCGAAAGCACATACAACCACGCTCTTTCTCCCAAGAAGTCAAGGGAAGCCTGTAGAGAAGCTTCTACAGTTAATAGAAGCGCAGAATGTGGGGCTATCGACCACACTGTGGAAAATCGTCAGTCAAAAAGACGAGGGCAAAGGCCAGATCCTTAGGTTAGGAATAGATGACCTATCCTGCCAACGGATCAAGGATAGTGGATGTACTATCCACTATCGATTCGGGAAAATCCCCGTACACGGCCTTCAAAAGAAAGAAGAATTAAAGGAACTGGGAGGAACAACAGAACCAACTCCTAGTACTTCCAAAGATGAGACTGATGTGGAGAGCATAGAGAGCCTTAACCTCTCAAATATCTGCGTAGACTCATCTGAGGATGTAGAAATTGATGAAGAAGCAGAAGAGAGGGATATGGAACGCACCCTCACGGGTGGGGACAACACCCCCCATTAAAGGAGAGAAAAATGGCGGGCATCAACATCGCCCAAGTGAATGTCCATTACGCCAAGGGAGCCTCGGCTGTGATATCTAGGACATTCACTAAAGATCAATTAGGGATCGTATTGATCCAGGAACCGTGGGTCTATGGAAACCAGGTAAGAGAACTTGCATGTAAGGATGCAAGGGTAATTTATCACACTAGTGATGAAGTACCCAGAACATGCATAATGGTAAGAAGTAATATTAAATATTCTTGTCTTTCAGAATTCATGACGCGTGATCTCGTTCCAATTCGAGCATATCTGGAATTAGGGATGAGGCGGCAAGACATAGTAATAGCTTCTAGTTACTTCGCATGTGTACCACCCCCGGAAGTATCGAGGCTAGTGGAGTACTGCCAGAGAAAACATCTGCCATTACTTCTTGGATGCGACGCCAACGCGCACAGCACTGTATGGGGAAGCAACGACACCAATCAAAGAGGTGAGCAACTTTTAGAATATATTTTTAATAAGAACCTTATTGTGCAAAATATTGGGAATACTCCAACATTTGTAACAAGGGCAAGAAGTGAGGTATTAGACATCACATTAAGCACACCGAGCATTAAAGATCTAGTTAAAAACTGGAGGGTATCGAGTGAACCATCTCTATCTGATCACAAGATAATTGTGTTTACGTTAGAGAGCGACATTCCTGAGACGATCCTCAGGAGGAATCCTAGAAAAACAGACTGGGACAAATACAACACCATTCTAAAACAAAATTTAGCACGTATCCAGACAAAAAAGGAGCCAAGGCATCCACTTGCTCTGGAAAGCGATCTCGAAGAACTAAATGGGGCAATACTTGAGGAATATGAATCAAGCTGCCCCATTCAAAGAAATAGGACTAGTAGGGATGCTCCTTGGTGGAACCGTCATCTGTCAAACTTACGATCCGAAGTGCGGAAGCTCTATAATAGGGCCAAGCACAGCGGAGATTGGCAGAGCTACACCGAGGCGCTTACTACCTACAACAAAGAAATCAGGAAAGCTAAACGTAACAGCTTTAGAAAATTCTGCGAGGATATTAACTCTACACCTGAGGCAGCGAGACTGCACAGGGTCCTGGCAAAAGGGAGAGTTGATACAGTTATGGCATTAAAGAAACCAAATGGAAGCTTCACGGAGAGTGAGGAGGAAAGAGCTCGCCTCTTACTCGAAACTCACTTTCCTGGAAGCACACCTTTTCTAATAAGGGACACAACTAAGGTAAGCAGACCCCCAAGAGAGGCCGCTGTAGTGGCCAAGCATATATGCAGCAGAAATCGGTTAAGGTGGGCCGTAAACACTTTTAAACCGTTTAAGTCTCCAGGTGTGGATGGAATATTTCCTGCCCTGCTTCAGCAGGCACAGGAGGAATTACTACCACACATAATCCGGCTATCCCGGAGCAGTCTGGAGCTGGGATATATACCAGAAGCATGGAGAAGGGCCAGAGTCACCTTTATTCCAAAAGTAGGGAAAAAGGATACCACACATCCTAAATCTTTCCGTCCAATCAGCCTCACATCCTTTGTATTAAAAACAATGGAGAAGGCTGTTGATAACTATATCAGAACAGAAGTCCTGGAGAGGGTGCCACTCCACCACAGCCAACACGCGTACCGAGCAGGAAGATCTACAGAAACTGCCCTGGTACAGTTGACTGATGTAATCCAGGATGCACTGACAAACAAAGAAACGGTCGTGTGTGCCTTTCTAGACATAGAAGGAGCTTTTGACAACACGCCACACGAATCTGTAAAAAGAGCACTTGCATACAGAGGAGTAGATAACATCACATCCAGATGGATGGCTCAGCTGTTATCTTCGAGAACTGCAGAGACACAGATAGGACAGGACACCATCTCCATCTGCACAACCAGAGGATGTCCACAAGGAGGAGTTCTATCCCCACTAATGTGGAGCCTAATTGTAGACGAACTTCTATGCATATTGACTGACCTCGGCATACCCTGTCAAGGTTATGCCGACGACATAGTCATATTTGCTAGTGGCAAGTTTAGTAATATCCTGTGTGATATAGTCCAAAGAGGACTAGAACATACCAAAAGATGGTGCCGTGAAGTATAAACCCTACAAAAACAACACTAGTAGCCTT